CTGGGGCGGCGGCACGATCGCACGCAGCGGAAAGCCCCGCCCGCCATGCTGCACACAAATCCGAACTCACCAGACTCGAAGTCAACATCGCAGCACACTCCGCATTCGCAATTCATCCGCCCACGCAGTTACCAGCGGGCAGGCCCCGAGGAGGGTCACAACTGCCCCCCCCCCCCCGACTGAAGAGCAGCGGAGGCTGGCCCTCCTGAGCGGCCGGGCCACACGTCAGGGATGCGAGTCAGGGTCGTGCTGGCTTGATTTGGAGCGGATAGTGTTGCTCGAGACTGATAGTGTTAGGTCGGGCGTGTCCCCCTACAGGGGGATTTTGGGCGAAAAATAAGAAGTACACAGTAAATACCCCCCAAATGGGCAAGAATAATAGAAAAATCGTCCCACGACTTTTGCTTTGACTATTTTTGAATATCCCTCCTGTAGAGGGACAGGCCCGACTTAATACCAGCGGGCAGGCCCCGAGGAGGGTCACAACTGGCCCCCCCCCGACTAAAAAGCAGCGGAGGCTGTCCTTCCTGAGCGGCCGGCCCACACGTCAGGGATGCGAGATAGGGTCGTGCCAGCTTGATTTGGAGCGGATGGTGTTGCTCGAGACTGGTACAGTATTCGGCCTGACCTAAAGAAAGATAAATTATTCACTGCGTGGAGCTCCCCATATGTGCATCTATTCGCATGGACCTGTCCGCCGTGAATGTCTAGGCGCAAGAGCTTTCGAATATAACGGGCTTCAGTTGTGACGGTCTGGTCATGAATCTAACTGAGAATGAATTGGAGTATGAATGAGCCTCAGTAGTACGAGCGCGTCTCTGCGCATGAGCCTGGGTCCTCCTGGGGCCTCCTGGGGCCTCCTGAAACCTACTGGGGCTTCCTGGGGCCTCCAGGAGCCTCTTGGGGCCTCCTGGGGCCTCCTGGGACCCCTAAGTACACAGGAGAAGGACAATCAATAGAAACATACGTATAACATGAAGGATTCGTGCTCCAGGTGAAGCCCAATCTATAGGAGCATACGTAAAACACATGGGATTGGAGCCACTCCTGTTGCCTTCTGAGGCCTCCTGCTCCTGGGGCCTCTCGGGGCCTCCTGTTGCCTTCCGAAGCCTCCTGGCGTTTCCTCTGGCCTCCTGGGGCCTCCTGTGGCTTCCTGAGGCCTCCCGGAGCTTCCTGGGGCCTCCTAGAGCCTCTTGGGACATCCTGTGGCCTCTTGAGTCTTTCTGTGGCCTCCTGATACCTCCTGGGACCTCATGTGGTTTCCTGGGGCCTCCTGGAGCCTGTTGGAGCCTCCTGTGGCATCAGAATCTGTGCCCACGAGTCTGGCCACCGATTGAGACATCCTCAAAATCTGGCCCACGTGGGGGGTGAAAATGAGCGCTTCGCTCGAGACATCCTCCAAATCTGCTCCGAAAGCGAAGGATGTTGGAACAGAAAACAAGCAAACCGCTGGAGACCTCCCCGCAAAACGGCCGCAAACGGGACCGTGAGATAACCCCTGGCGGCTCCCCGTAGGCACCTAAAACTGAGCGCCTCGCTCGAGACATCCTCCAAATCTGCTCCGAAAACGAAGAATGTTGGGACAGAAAACAGGCAAACCGCTTGAGACATCCCCACAGAACGGCCGCGAACGAGACCGTGAGATAACCCCTCGGCGGCCCCCATTAGGGACGTGAAAATGAGCGCCTCGCTCGAGACATCCTCCAAATCTGCTCCGAAAGCGAAGGATGCTGGGACAGGAAACAGGCAAACCGCTTGAGACATCCCCACAAAACGGCCGCGAACGGGACCGTGAGATAACCCCTGGCGGCTCCCCTCAGGGGGAGCTGAAACCAGCGCCCCGCCTGAGACATCCTCACATTCTGCTCTGGTAGCCAAGGATGTTGGGACAGAAAACAAGCAAACCGCTTGAGGCATCCCCACAAAACGGCCGCGAACAGGGCGTGCGTGAGTCTCACCATGAGTAAGTCTGAGTAGGAGTAGGTCTGAGTATGAGTAGGTCTGAGTAAGAGTAATTTTGTGTGTGAGTAAGTCTGGGTATGAGTAAGTCTGAGTGTGAGTCAGTCTGTGTATGAGTAAGTCTGGGTATGAGGAGGAGAGGGGAGGAGAAGGAGAAGGAGGAGGAGGAGGAGGAGGAGGAGGAGGCGTCCAAGTAACAATATTCACTGCGTGGAGCTCCCCATATGTGCATCTACTCGCATGGACCTGTCCGCCGTGAATGTCTAGGCGCAAGAGCTTTCGAATATTAACGGGCTTCAGTTGTGACGGTCTGGACATCAATCTAACTGCGAATGAATTGGAGTGTGAATGAGCCTCAGTAGTACGAGCGCGTCTCTGTGCATGAGCCTGGGGCCTCCTGGGGCCTCCTGAAACCTACTGGGGCTTCCTGGGGTCTCCAGGAGCCTCTTGGGACCTCCTGGGACCTCCTAGGAAGGTTTCGTGCCCCAGGGGAGGCGCAATCTATAGCAACAGACGTACATAAAACATTGCGGATTAGAGCCACTTTTTTGTACACACCAGGCAGCTCGTGCAGCACGAGCCGATCCCGCCGCCAAAATGGCGCGAGCCGCGGAGCGCGGCTGGGAGGCACCGCAAACAGCGGCCTCCACAATCAGCGTGCACGCCACGCTGCGTGGGTGTGCGCCGTCAGGTGAGGCAGCCACGCGAGCCACCTTCCACCCCGTGCCAGGCCTGAAAAGGCCTAGACCACCGAAGGCACTCCCCAAATCACTCACTCAGGCGCCTGCCCGTCTTCGGGTCCAGGCCAGCCCTGATGTTGGCAATCTTCAGGTTGCGCAGGCGCAGCGCGTTGCCAGAGGCAGCCACACACAGCCTGCCGAGCGACCTGCGCTTGCCGTTGAGCTCCTTGGCATAGGCCTTGCAGCGAGTGCAGATCCTGAAGCCGTTGATGCTGAGCAGCTCGTGGCCTGCCCCACCTGCTGCCTGAGTGCCAGATCCCTCGGGCGCGTCGTCCGACATGGAGACCTGGGCGACCTCGAGACCTGCACTTGCCTGGCCGTCGGCGGGATCCGCCTCCGCCCTACCCTCGGCCTCGCGCGCAGCGCGGGCAGCTGCCGCTGCGCGCAAGAGGGCAACGCCAGGCGAAGGATCCTGGCCGCTGCTGCTGCTGCTGGCGCCACCGCCTGCCGCCGCCGCCTCGGGGCGTTGCAAATCCTGCAAGCCCGCAGCAGGATGCTCGCGGGCGGCGTCGGCGAGCCTCGGCGCTGCCTGCTGGAGCTCGGCGTCGGGGTACGCCACGCGCTCGCCGACGTGAGCGCTCCTCGCCTCCTGCTCAAGCCTGTGCGCAGCCGCCAGCGCCACCGCCACAGCGCCTGCGGAAGCCAACGCCGACGCCGTAGGCTCGCGTCTCGTGCCACTAGCCACGGGCGCAAACGGCTTGGCCACACACGGGTCCTTGAGCAGCCTCTTGATGCTGAGGTCCGTGTACGCCGTCTTGAGGCAGGCCCTGCAATGTACTCCGCCTCTCGCCACCTTGACGACGTTGTGCCTTGTGACGCTGAGCGGAGGCCCCTTGTGAACCGGCTTGCAGTTCGGGTCGATGTCCAGCTTCAGGTCGGCTGCCTCGCACCCCGCACGCGCAACCCAGCGCACAACACCGTCGAGGGTGAGCGAACGCCACTGCCAGGCTTCACGTAGCTCAAGCGGCGCCCTCACTGCAGCTGCAACCGCCTTCGCCGTACGGTCGGCCTCCCAGTTGCCTCGCCTGTCGCGTGCAGTGATGTCTCCGTTGCGGACCATGGCCGACGTGGCGTGCGCCTTCACTTTCTGAATCGTGAGCCCTTGGGGCCCAATGCCACCGAAGTCGTCCAGAGCTGCCCAAACACGCCTCCATACGCATCCCCAGGCAGAGGTCGCCTTGGTGGTGTTGGCCTCGCCCCTATCCAGCAGTCCCTTGGCGACGTACGAGGCGTCGAAGGCCGCAGTGATAGGTGGCAGGCTGTGGCGAAGAAGCGCCAGGCACCCCAGGAGTTCGGCCCCGTCGATGGACTGCAATGGCCCGGGCAATGGCGTGCCCAAAGCCTTGACGGCCGACTCGGGCCCTGGGTCCCAGTTGTCGTCACCATCTGGCAGCTGCACCATGCCGCAAGCCCCCACCGCCAGCGAGGACCCAGCCTCGTAGACCGCTCCGTCCGAGTAGACCGCGGTAGCGGAAAACGGGAACCCGTCGCCACCCTTGACCCACTGCACGTGCGCAAGTAGGTCGTCGCTTGGGGGACGCCACTCGTGGAGGGGCTCGGGCAAGATCAGCCTCTCCAGCAAGGTGTTAATGGTCACACTGGTGCTGAAGGGAACAAGCTTGCTGACCTCGGCAGGGAGCGCCAGGCTCGGCCAGCTGTCCTGGCAGGCCGTGCGCCTGTGCCAGAGGGTGCCAGGCTGGCCAGGGTGCAACTGGCAACATGGCGCGCGGGCGATCCTTGGGGCACCGCGGTACCTCCTGCTGTTAGGCCACTGCCCGAGGACGAAGACCGAGCGCGCGTACCCCCGCTGGCTGCTGTTGAGGGGCTCCCAGTCCTTCGCCAGGCTAGAGCTCCCCACACCCTTGGAGAACCAGCGCCGCAACTGCGGAAGGAAAATGCCACTACGAACGTCCTCGTGAGTGCCGTCTGCCAGGAGCTTCATCTGCCAAGCCCTTACGTCCAGCGTGATACATTGCTTGGCGTACCATGGGGAGACCTCAAGAAAGTTGATGATCGTACCGTTCGGCCTGACGATGCAGTCTAGCGCCTTGGGGTCGTAACCAATCCTCTTCAGCGACATGACCACCGCTCCGAGCGGACCGCGTACGTCCGCCCAACATGTAGCCGAGTTGGCCGCCCACTCAAATGCTGGCTTGAGCTGCCCGATCGGCACCCACTTCTCCCACACGGCGCGCGCCAGCGTGAAGCAGGGCGCCAGCGTCGCTGCGAACAGAGGGTCGATGGTGGGCGATCCTCCCACCAGCAAGCACGCCGTGAGCGACTTCCCGTGGGGATTCGGCT